TAAAAAATATAAAAAAACATTAAAAACAAAAGCAATTGCTTATAAATTTAAAAAATAAATACAAAAATCACATGATCCAAATACCCTATGTATGCACTTCTTAGAAATTTTATATATAAAAAAAATATTAAAAAAAAACCCAAAAAAATAAATAAATGCTAAAAATTAATAAACACACAATTTTTTATTTAAAATTTTTATAATTATTTTCTCAAATTATGAATTTCTTGTTGAAACACAAAAAAAAAATTATAAACTAAAACGTTTAAAATTAAAAATAAAACAAAACACAAAATCAGCTTTAAAATATAATTGTAATAAAATTAATTAAAAAAAAAATTATTATTTATTTAATTAATATAGAAAAAATTAATTAAATAAATTTAAAATATAAATTTAAAAATAAAAGAATATTTCCTGACTTCAAAAATTGCAGTAATTGGCACGGCATTAATAGGCAATTCACCCTATTTAATATTTGCAATTGCTGAATTGTGTATAACTGTATATACCAATACTGCATAACTGTAATTTTGAAGTTACGAATTCTTACTCGTAAAGATGATGGTGGTTCAATAATTCAAAAAAAAAAAAAATTATACTCGCCTTAGATGCCTAATTTAACAGCCAAAAAAAATATAATAATGAAAAAACACAATAAAAAAAAATTAATTATATATTTTAAAAAATTAAGAAAATATTTTATCATTATTTATAAAACAAATATGGCGGAATTGTAAAAAAAAGAAAATTATTTAAAAAATAAACTACTATTCAAAAAAAAAAAATATTCAAATTATTGTGATAAAATATTCATAATAGTTTTTCAAAAATTATAAAGTAATAAATGATATATACATACATGCATATACACATGCTGTCATGCATATATTTATTTTCTCTTTAATTATATTATTGTATGTATAATATTTCAAAAATGTGTAAATTATATTATTAAAAAAAAAAAACAAATATTTGCACATTCAAAAACCATAAATAAAGAATTAACTTATTATATAATGTAAATATTTTCCAAATGCGGGCTAAAATTTATTTAGTTTGTTTCCCAGTATGTCAAATATGTTATTTGACAAAAACATGTCAATCACATACATTGTAAATGACAACAATCTATAATTAAAAAATTTTTGTATTTGAAATACTTATTAGAAGAATAAAAAAACTAAAATGGTCAAAATAAATTGGAATGTATGAAACTTGTGTCATGACACAATGACTAACGTCAATTCATAATGACGTAATAACAAAATGAAATTCATTACTAATGTCAATTACAAGCATTTGACATATACATACTTGGAAATCCTTGTACAAGTTATACTATTAAAAAATTTTATTTGAATACGTCCTTCTTATTCACTTTGAATAATTTTTTTTTGTAATTCTTAAATTACACCTTAAAATACTTAGAAAAAATATTATTACAAAAATGTTTAATTAACAATCTAAAATGCATTTTATTAAAAGGACCAAAATAAAGGACATAATATTATATACCATTACATTAATTACAGTTTATTGTAAGATTTCCACAATTTCAAATAAAAAATTTGAAAAACTAATTTCATATTAAATAAGAAATTCATATTTTAAAATTTATAATAGGACGAATAGCATTTTTTTTCTCTTCATTCGAAATATAAATTGTCGAATTTGAATTTTAGACTTTTATATTATATAATTATTATATAATTATGAGATTCCTTCATAAATACGTAAATACAGCAATAAGCGAATTAAATGCGTATATGCGTAAGTACTTAATAATAATTAATAAAATAAATAATTCCCGCACTTGAAACTATTAGTAACAAAAAAATTTTAAAACTTGGAAAAGGGGAAAAAAATTCATTTTAACGTGCAAAAGAATATTCGTAATAAAATGAAATATTTTAATTATTAATTTAAAAATTATTATATTAAATAAAAATCTCATATATTTCTCATATATTTCATATAATATCAAGAGTTTACCGAGGAAAACTCTTGGTATAATTATTTAAAAACATTTTGAAAGTGTAACAAAAAAATTTTCAACAAAAACTCATAACTCATAAAAATTTTTGATTAACAAAACAAAACTTTTGCAATTTCTGTTATATTTGTATAACAAACTTACATAATATCCCTGATTCATTTGATTTTAAATGTTAATTGCATATACATATGTATTCCATTTACTATTCCTAAAGTAATTTCTTCCCATTTTATTAATCGCAATTAATTCACATGTTAAAATTTTGTTATATTTTTTCATCTAAAATTATAACAACGGTTTTAACAACATTTTTATTACAAATAACACGAATTTCTGTGTTCAAATTTATATTTAGTAAAATAAATTATGTAAAAGAATTAATACGACAAGTTAAGAGGTTACAAACCCAAAGTGCTCAAATAAGAAATTCGAATGAAAGAATAATGAATTCACTTAGGATGACGAGCGGCTTAAAATATTTTAATTCAAAATCATTAAAAATTCTTTAATTTTAAAAATTGTTGAATAATATAAGATATTTTTCTTCATAACCCGGTATATATTAACTTTATATATATTTATATATTTTCCATTGCTACCACAATATAAATTTTCAAATTTCAAATAATTGGCTTAATAATTACTGAAAAATATGATCCACTTGATATCTTAAACTATATTTATAGTATATATAATAAATGTATTATATTAAATTTAATATTATTTAAAAAAAAAATCTTGTACATAAAAATCATATATAATATTAAATTATTTAAAAGAAAAAATATATTTTAAAGAAATCATCAACTAAAATTAAAATATTCTCATTAAAAATTTTTGTGCTTAATAAAACTAAAAAATAAAACAAAACAAAGGCCTAGGTCTGCTGACGGACTATTGTGCCAATTAAAAAATTATATATAATACCTATGTATAATAAAAATTATAATATAAAAAACTAATATATTAATATTAATGCCATTCATGAACTAAAATATATAAAAACTTAATAAATACAATTAAAAAAAAATTATAAATTCTAAAAACTAAATGTGACAAAAAATTCTCTTAAATTTAAAAATTTTTTTTTTTTGTATTTTTAATTTCAAACATTTTTTTTATTAAAAACAAATTAAAATGAAAAAAAAAAACTTTTTATATGTATATTAAAAATAAATTCAAAAAAAGGCAGGAAAATAGAATTGAAAATTAAGTTTCATTGCATTGTTCAAATTGTGTCCTACATTCATACACACATATAATATTACGTATTACATATTTATTACCGTGACTAATTCAAATTTATATAATTTTAATAAAAAAAACCAAAAATTTATTCAAAAATTTCCAAAAAAAAAAAATAAGAAAACCAAAAGAGAAACCATAAATTTGATTATTTTTCAACAACAGTATTAAAATATACAATTATATAAAATACATTCAACATTACTTAAATATATTACATTATATTTATAAAATACATATATACATACATATACATTAAATACATTTAATTCAAAATAAATTTGTATAAAAAATTGTTGAAAATTTTTAGATTTAAAAATAATTTTTTTTACTAAAATACAAAAAAAAAAATACAAAAAAAAAAGACAAAATCCAAAAGTGTTTTCAATATTAAAATTTAATGATAAAACAAAAAAAAATCTAAATAAAATTTAAAAAAAAAATAATAGCTAATTATTAAAAAGAATTTGTGTTATCCTGAAGTAATATTCAATCAAAAATATTAAATCAATTACAGGAATTGTGCGTCTGAAAATTTTTCATCATCTTTCGAAAATTCAAAAAAAATATATACAGATTTTTTTCTTAATTAATTTAATTCATGTCTTCATAATTTATTATTGAATAATTTATTATTGAAAGAAATCAATTATAATACAGATGTCATTAATTTTATTTTCTTTACTGTAATGGAAACTCTATTAAAAACATAACATAAAAATTCAATAATATATTTATTGTACTATTTCAAAATTTATGTGAAACACAACCTGATCTCATAACATGCAGACACAACAAACAAAAAAGTACCTACTAAAGAACAATTTTTTGATTTTCCTAAAAAATAATACAAAACAAAAACTAATTCAGAAAATACTGCATATATTTCAGCTTATAAGTTTTATATTGTTGCATATTATCGTATCAGGTGCAATACCGCATACCTCCGAATTTCTAAAATGATCAGGAGATACTTAAAACGGTTTAATTATATCATAATATATATATATATATATACTACTTATTAACTAAAATTATTAAACCCCAATTATCATTTACTAATATCTGTTTACATGTGAAAAGCACTATATTTAATATAATTTCAATAGCTTATGCCATGCTCCTAAATTTATAATTTTAAATTTAATTTTTAATAAAATTTCATATGAATATTAACTTCAGGGGCACTATATTTAAAAAAAAAAATGTGTTTTAATATTAAAATTATACTATAAAAATAACAAGAAAATAAAAAATCTAATAAAAAAGAAAAATATAATTAAGATAAAATTATTTAATATTTCTGTATGTAAAACTAAATTAAATTTTTAAAAATTCTTATAAATTGAATTTATTGGATAACTAAAACAAAACAGACAACAAAAATATAATAAAAAAATATAAATTAATTATTTATTTATATGAATTAAAAACAAAAAAAAAAAAATATTTTTAATCCATTAAATTAAATTAATTATTAATGAAATATATAATATAAATATATATTATTAAATTAATTTGAAACAAAAAAAAAAATATTTAAAAAATATTAAAAAAATTATATATATATAGAAAAATTATGCTAAAAACTAAATATATAAATTCATAAACGTTGTAAAAAAAAAGAAAAGCAGTATGTAATATAAAAAAAATTAAAACACCAGAACAATATTTAATATTATATATGTAAATATAAATCAAAATATATACACATATAAATATTAAATTGTATGAATAAATAATGTGTACATTTACCTTTATTAAAGAGTATATATATAGAAAAAATATATTTTATTTTATGACAATAAACTATTTTGCATTTTCATTTAATTTTCAAAATATTGAATATCTAATTTTTTTTTTATATGAATTAACAATTACATACAACGACTTTTCATATAGCGCACAATTAAAAAAAGTTTTAAACTTGGACTCATAAAAAAAATAATAGATGAAACTAAGCAATTCTATATAAACATATAATATTTCATAATAAAAGTGTATCCATTCTAATGTTTGGCTTTAATAATTTGTGTTTTAAAATCTTCTTTAGCAGCGGCTGTAAATAATTCTGCATATAATGGTAATCTTTGAGTCATTCTAAATCCCCAATTATCTTTCATTTGACGACATAAATTTAAATCGATTTCAGCAACTAATAAACCATCCATTGCTCTCGAAAGTCCCTAAAAATAAAATGAAAACATGAACATTTATAATATCAAATCAGAAATACATATATTTGGGAATAAAATAAATATATTACTTGTGTTTTTGAACCATCTGGGCCGGTTATATAACTTGATCCACAATACGAAAATATACTTGACGTAAATTCATTTTGAAATTTTTCTACTCCTACACGATTTATCGCAACTGTAAAATAGTTATTTGCTATTGCAGCATTTCTTGCTTCAATACCCCATAATGGTTCACTTGCAGATCCAATAGCTGATGGATTGAATACAATTTCTGCTCCATTTAAACCAAACATCATCCAATTTTGTGGATGGTGACGACCATAACAAATATTAATAGCAATTTTACCAAATTCTGTATCAAACACAGGATGTCCGGTATTTCCCTCCGAATAATAATTTGATTCATTAACATCATCAACTCTTGGTATATGATTTTTTCTATGTTTGCCAAGAATTTTCCCACGATTCGATATAACTACAGCTGTATTCCACATTATATCACCATGATCAAAATCTCTTTCTAGAATTGGAGAAATTATAACCATATTATATTTTTTAGCTAATTCTTGTAAAAGTTTTGTTGTAGGTCCATGTTCTGCATTCTCAGCAAATTCACACCAAGGAAATTTTTCACGAGTGCAAAATGCGAATGGCATTGTCCAAGCTTCTTGCATACAAATTACATTTACATCAGCTAATGCGGCAGCATCAATAATTTTTGTTATTTTTTCATAAATTGATCTACGTTGAGTCTCCAATGGATATGATGTTGGTTCACAGATTGAATTTTGTATTGCACCAATACGAACTATACGAGGTTTACGAAGTTCTTCCGGCATAACATTAAATGCATAAGCTTTAATTTCGAAATTATGTTGTTCAGCCAATTTTATTGCTTTTTCAGGAATTTCAATTGATTTACTAAAATTAAAAGAAAAAGAAGAAAATAAAAACAATTTGAAATTATTTAACAGTTTGTTTGGTAATAAATCTTTTCATCAAAATAATTTTCTAATTTTCCTAAATGTTAATATTGCCATATTTTCAAGCACATCCATCCATGTACAACAAAAAAATACACAAGATATGCCTTTTCACTTAAAATAAAAATCTTAAAATTGATAATATTTTTAAACACATCATTAAAATTTTTACAAATTTGAACATTTATTGAAATCCGAAATAATTACTACATATGTATATTATGTATGTATATGTACATAAAAAATATCAAAGTAATAATTGAAGGTTCTTATCGGTAATAATGTGAATCGACAATCGCTTTAATTTATTGAAATACGAAACACATTTATGTACACAACTTAAAAATTATTTAGTCCTTTTCCTTAATAATCTGTGGCCTAAAATCTGATTTGGCAGCTGCTGTAAATGATTCTGCATATAATGGTAATCTTTGAGTCATTCTAAAGCCCCAATGGTCTTTCGTCTGACGACATAAATTTAGATCGATTTCGGCAATTAAAAGACCATCTTTAACACGTGATAATCCCTAAAATCAAAAATAAATTCTGTTTTCATTACATAATATATAAAAATATAATTCCATTACTGGTGTTCTTGAACCATCTGGGCATGTTATATAACTTGATCCATAAAATGGACCAAAATTTTTATGAGATTCTTTACCATCACCAGACGTAAATTCATTTGGAAATTCTTCAGTTCCTACACGATTTATTGCAACAGTAAAATAGCTATTTGCTATTGCAGCATTTCTTGCTTCGATACCCCATAATGGTTCACTTAAAGCACCAACAGTAGCTGATGGATTAAACACAATTTCTGCTCCATTCAAGCCAAACATCATCCAATTTTGTGGATGATGACGCCCATAACAAATATTTATAGCGATTTTTCCAAATTCAGTATCGAAAACTGGATGACCTGTGTTTCCCTCAAAATAATAAGTAGATTCATTAAAATCTCCAACTCTTGGTATATGATTTTTTCTATGCTTTCCTAGAACATTCCCACGATTGGATATAACTACAGCTGTATTCCATATTGTATCACCATGATCAGTATCTCTTTCAAGAATTGATGATATTATAACCATATTATATTTTTTTGCTAATTCTTGTAAAAGTTTTGTAGTAGGACCATGTTCTGCATTCTCAGCAAATTCACACCAAGGAAATTTTTCACGAGTACAAAATGCAAATGGCATTGTCCAAGCTTCTTGCATACAAATTACATTTACATCAGCTAATGCGGCAGCATCAATAATTTTTGTTATTTTTTCATAAATTGATCTACGTTGAGTCTCCAATGGATATGATGTTGGTTCACAGATTGAATTTTGTATTGCACCAATACGAACAATACGGGGCTTACGAAGTTCTTCTGGTAATGCATTAAATTTATAAGCTTTAATTTCAAAATCATTTTCTTCAGCCAAATTTTTTACTTTTTCAGGAATATCAATTGATTTGCTAAAACGTAAAATGAAATAAATTAAAAAGTTTTTACAACAAAAGAATTTTTGTACAGTTACTTATTACAATCCAAACATAAACGTTAATAAAATAAAATTTAAACACTTTCTACTCATACATTGTAGGATTAATCAATATAATTACTCTTAACTCCAGAACATCTCATCATTTTTCGTAATTATATAACTAATTAGTTCTTAAATGTTAAAAAATCAAAATTTATTCCAACTTTTTAACTAAAATTTCGATAATTTCAAAGTATATGGCTTAAATCAATGTAACTAAACTATACTTGTGTATAAAAAATTTTTAAAGACAAGGATTAAAAATATATACTTACTCATTTGAATACCCATATAAAATTCTTTTGACCTCTTTTAATTCATCTTCTGGAATATGTTTTTCTAAACACTCTTCTAAGCTTCTAAAAGTGTTTTCTGACATTTTTACAAAAAAAAAAATTATTTTCAATCTGATTTTAGGAATTTATAAAGATCACATGCAAAACAATTTGCAATTTTTAATAAAATTCAATAAGAACGAATAAATTTTACTATTTAATCAGTAAATTATTTTAAAAAATCCTCTTAAGTATTATAAATTTGTACAAGATTATGATTACTAATAAAAAAAATTTGAAATTATTAAATTAAAACCATTATAATAAGTTTAAGTGCCGTGCAGATAATTCAAATAATGAGAGAACAAAATTTTACTCAAATTATGAAAATCAGATAAAATTAAATGCGAAAATAACACTCGTATTCCGTTCGCATTTACATGAAGACTGATCTAGTTCAGAGAGTTATAGTAGCCAGTTGGTATTTCTAATCGAAAACGCAAATAAGAAATCAAAAGTTTTTATCAGGGATGCAAAATAGTTATACGGAACGCTGATATAAAAATAATAGTGGAACTATTTCTATTCTTGAAATTTTTTACTTTATCGTTTACTTAAAAAAGAATATATGTATTAAAAATATCAATAAATTTAAGAGAAATCATCGTAATATTATTGCAATACTTACATAAATGTTCATACTTTCACATGAAAGAAAATACTCCCAAAATTAATTTTTGAATTTATTCGATTAAAAAATTCAATTTTAAAATTTAGTTTAATTTTTTCAACAATAATTTAAATTAATATTAATTTAAATGTATTAAAAAATAGATTTCCAACATGAAAAATTATAGAATTTTTTTTCATTAGAGCACCACTGGCATGATAATGAAATTATTTATGTGCAATAAAATACATACATACGCACGTAATACGTACAATTTTATAATACTGTTTGCACATGTATATAAGTATGTATATATGAAAAGTTTTTATAATATAAACAACTTGAAAATTTTATTACTGCCATTACAATTAAAAATTATAAATAGAAAATCTCATATTATGATAGTGATAGATTGTGTTATTTAAATATGAATTTTTCTTTACTCTTTTATTACATTTTAAACAAAATTTTTATAAACAATAATGTTAAATTGCATTTAATACCGTGTTAATGTTGTATTCAGATGAAAAATGAATTGCTAAATTAACTTTGGCACGATTTTCTCAATTGAATTTGAGCTTTAGAAAATTTAAGAATTTGACAACGTACAAATAGCTTAAATTACTCTGAGCCTTATGCTTATATAAAGCCTAAATTAATAATAAAAAATTAATTGAATTCATAAAATTTAAGCTTAATTTTTGTTGAAAGATCCATGAAATAGCTCTTTTTTTTTTAAAAGATACAAAAACACTCAACAGTTCGTGTATTATTCTTTTTGAACTTTATTAGAAGATAATTTCACGCCTTATGATCGATGGACGAACTAAATCTTGATTTTGATCATGTGTTAATGAAATTTTAAAAATTTAAAATTAAAATGTTCGCCAAAATATGTATATGAGTCTCTGCAATTTTTCACAACACTTAATATGCACAAAGTAACAAAAAAATTTTAATAAAAAAATAAATAAAATATTATTACGATTTTATCTTTTTTTTATATAATATGTAGCTATATTTGAATAAAATATTAATAAACAAACTTTATTTGATAAATATTCCGTAATATAAATTTACCATAATTTATCGCTAAATACAATTTCTTTAAATATAATATCATATTTAGCTGTACTAACAAGATTTTTCTTTGTTCGCATACCATCTTTAAACTTTTCTCTTACTTCACCTGATTTAACATCATTTCGTAAATAAAATAAACGTACAATTTGTTCCTCATTTAATGATGGATAATTGCCAAGAAGAGTTGTTAAATCCAAAACTAATAGTTCAATGTCACAAACTAAAAGATTTGCTAAAACTGGAATTAAGTCAATTGGTGATTCATTCATAGATAAATTTGGTGCTTTCTCTTCGAAAAACATTTTTATTTCTCTTGCATCAAAATTTATATACTTTGTAACTAATTCAATTTCATTTCTCGGTTTTGACAAACGTTTTGATAATAAAGCTTTTATATATCTTTTTGCTACCATTATTTGAGCTTCATTTATAACAAGCTCAAAATTATTTGGTCTTAAATGAATATAATCTGAGAAATAATCTTCTAAGGTCGCACAAATGGTTTTAATTGATATACGGCTTTGCAACCATTTAGGTGTAAAAAGTTCATTGAATATAACTAAAAACAAAAAAGACATAAAATATTATAAGACACCACACATAACATGTAAACATAAAAAAATTTTTACATTGTTCCAGATAAATAATGTACATAAATGACCTACCTTCTAAATCAAGAAAAGCTTCTTCTAATAAATATATTGCTGCTTCTTCTCGATTTCTTTGGAATGTTTTAATTAGTCTTTCAAAATCTTCATAATGTTCTGTACGTGATTTAGGCCAGTACAATTGCTTCATTTGTTGAGCAAGTTCAATGATTTGTTGACTATTATTAACAACAGTTATTATATGATGTGTAAAATACTTTATTTGATTACGATTTTTGAAATGACGTTCTTTAATTTCAATTACACCAGAACGATAATTTTGTCCAAATATTTCCATCTGCCTTATACTTAATACTAAAGCATTAAATGTTACATCAGCACTTATGGTATTTGTCACTTGTAAATGTTGAGTTATCATTTGGAATATTATGACGGGAGCTGAAGTTTGATAATACTGTTCATCTTGATCTGGTGGGTTTTCTGAAAACCAATCCTGTTTTTCTGCATCTAAAGTCTTTGTCATCCATTCTTGATAATTTCTTTCCATATTTCCTAGATACTCTTTCTCGAGTTCTTGAAGCTGTTCTGGTTTTAGTAAAGGTCCCGCGATCTTTGAAATGTCAACTTGCAAATCAGGATGGGACATTAATTCTTGACCTGTATAAACGTTCATCACCCAAGACAATAAAGAAACATATTCATTGCCCTCTAATCCGGTGTTAATTGTTCTATCGAGCTAAAACCATACAAAATATTTTACAATAAATATGACACACATGCATATATACAAAAATTAGTTACATAATTTGCCAAAGAATTGTGATACATCTTTACGTGCTCATTGAAAATATCATAATCTGGAGGAAAGCAAGGAACGCATAAAGATTTAACCACTCTTAAATCTTCCAACACTATTTTTCTTGTAATTTCCAAGTCCCGTACAAGCCAAAGTTTTTCAGTTTTATCTTCTAATTTTGAACCTTCTATTCGATCTTCAACCGCGACAGAGAGAACACCCATTGCCATTTCTCGCCATTTTTTAGGTCTTCCAGGTGGAAGAAATCCTGTAACTTTCTGCTGTTGTAAAGCAAACTGATCAGATTTTTCCTCTCTTTCGATTATTCGAAGAGCTGTGACAATAATTGTTGGTTCTTTTCTAACTGTATTCAGTGTTCGAAATAATATCAAACGAATTTTTTTCTCCAACCGTTTTGATACAGTCTCAACTTTTTCGAAATGTCTTTTTAATGTGATCTTGTCACAAGCTTTAGCATATTGTTTAGGTTGCTTGTGAAGCTCGTATAGCAAATCATCTCTTGAATTTTCTAGTTCGGCTAAACACTGATGGGCATTTAATAATTTGTCTTCTTCAATGAGTTGTAAAGTTTTTTCAACACTTGTTTCCACATTGAAGATATTTTTTAAATTTTCCATAGTAGTCGCATATTGTGAATGCTTGATATTCTCTTCCCGAACTGGTTCTAAAGCGTCGTAAATTTCTGGGACGGCAGCTAATAAATCATTTACCTCTTTTACCCGTATCATTACATCTTTAACATCGGATAAGCACGTTTCTAATTGTTTTAGTCCCACTCTAACACCTTCAAGCTGATTTTGCATACCGGATTTTAATAGAGATTCTGCAGAGGCTTTTTTTCTTCCTAAAACAATTACAGAAATAAGTAATAATATCTATTATTTATGACAAAAAAAAATAAATTAGTAAGTATACTCACCTATTCTCTTCTTGTACTGGTCAACTTTTTCCAATTGCCCTGGTTTTTGTAACATGTTTTTAACATCTTTCAATGCAGCTTGTCGTGCTTCAACTTCCAATTGCTTCAAGTCCATTTCTGTTTTGTTTGAAAAATTTGTAAATAAGAATTTAAGAATGAAAATTTCTTGTATTTATTTTTAATTGTCAAACTATTTGTAATTTGAGTCTGTTTTGTATTCTGTAGATTCTAAAGTCAGTCAATCTAATGTCAGATTACTTATACACATGTGTCATATAAATACATTGTAAAATGAAACCCTGAAACTGAAAAACATACAGTTTTCATAATTTCATACTAATCTAGGGTATATGTCAAAAACATGGTATTGAAACCGTGATATAAATTAAATTAAGGCATTTTAGCAAACATGCACTTCTTAACTTTCTAACTGTTTGATTGCTTATTTTCTTTCCGTTTCATCTAATAAGGCAATCAAGCAACCTGTAATATTTTTCAATTTTAATTAAAAAATAACACCAATTTCGGTTTCTAATAGAAAATCTAAATGTAAAAGAAGTGAATAATAGTCATTGTTTATACGGCGGATAGAGTACTTAATTTCACATTTCAATCTGCATAATATATACTGTGTAAATTTTAACATATAACTTGAATTCGACTTGAATTTGACATTTTAGCTGACAAACATTATATATTAATTTATCATTTTCATTCTTTCAGTCTACGTATACTATGCAACCGATTTTCAAATCAAGCTAATAATTTTATCGGATAGACTTGACTTCAAAATAGCAAATTAAGTAGCTGGAAATTCACTTGAAGTCGGTTACAAGCTAAATTTAAACACAGTATATGACAAATATCCTTGAATTCTAAAATGCATTGGCGCACATTAATACACAATTCACACTTATAATCTGAATTTGATAATAAAACAGTATCACCGCATTTTCGAAGTAATGTTCAGAACACATGTTCAGAACACACTTTAATCAAATGAAATTATTTTGTACTCTCGGAGCTCTGATTTTAAAAACGAAAATTATAAAGTTCTGTCATTTAATAATTTTCCAAATTTAAATTGTATGAGTTCTGTAAGAACTGAAAAATTTTTTCAAGCATACTGTAAGTATAAAAAAGGACATGAACTTCAACACTATGAGGTAAGAAATGAACATGGTTTTTTACAGATCTGACTCGGTTTTGTTCTAATAAAAAAAAACAGATTAAATTAATGCAATTTGTCAAAAAATTAAATAAATATTTTTGGTTAAAAAAATACGTTTAAGAAAAAAAGCTTATTATTTTGAATAGAAAACTAAGCTAAAATTTAATTCTATTTCGTGGAAATTTTTAAAAAAAACCCAGAACGATCCGATTTTTCGAACAAGGAAAAAGAAATTTTAAACATCGGAATATCAAAATTGAAACATTTTTTGTTTCATATTGGAATTAATGAGAAAATTTTTTAAATGTCATATTTATCGTATGATAGTTTAAGTTAAGTAGATGATAGACGTCACAGCGAGTAAGAATGTGAAAATTAAGACGTCGATAAAAGTAAAAATCATCTAAAATTAAAAAAAAAATTTGCGGGTAAAAGGCATTAAAAGTTCAAAAAACCTTTTATATAGCATTTAATAATAAATACGAAAATAAGATCAATTATATTAAAGTTTAAGGCGAAAGTAAATATAATTAAAAAAAAAAGAAAAGTAGATATTTGACATTTAATTTTGAGGCAGCATACAAAATAAAATTGATATTTATTGGTTTTAATTATAAAAGCCCAATCAATGTGGGGTAAAATCGTCATCATTAGCAGTGTCATTTTTATTTGTTGTGCAACAAATTATTATTAAAAGAAGAAAAGTTGTGAAATTACGCGTTTTTTTTTTCTTTCGAAAGATCCATTTTTTTTTTTTTTCAATATATAGAAGTTCGAGCGCCTAGTGGGATCTTCAACTTCGATTGAAGCCCACACAGTGTGCTGGAACATTTGATGGAATTATGTACCAAGAGCCTCAAATTATATCCTTAACGCAGATTAGTTATTTGGTAAATAACTTGACAAAGAAAAATTTTGCACAAAATTGCGGAATTATAAGACAGGTAAGTAGTGTTTCCAAGTAAATAAAATTTAATACGTAGTTTATTGTATACGTGCATTACTACAATAATAATATCTACATATTGTATATCTATAACTTTCTACTCAATTGATAAAATAATATATTTAATACATTTTTTTTTTTTTTGTTATAAATACGATTTAACTAATTATATATGTGTCATAATGACTGCTTTCTAAAATAAATTTTGAATTGTCATACTAAAAAGGAATTTTTTTTTTTTATGAAAAGGGAAAATTCTTATAAAGTTTTAATTATAATTGGCCAAATAATGGCTATGCTTTAAAAAGAAATTTTAATATTTATATTTTTTTCATCTGAAACAATTTTGATGTTGTTTGAAAATATTGTCTAGAAGATGAAATTTTGGGGTTGGTTTGAGTTCCAATTTATGTATGTATATATGTAAAAGTCATCAACCTCGAAATAAAAAGCTTGATAATATTAATCACATGTTATTCTACAAAATAAACAGGAAGGTAAGGTACTCTTACCTACCTACAAATATGTAGTAAATTTTAATCATTAGGGAATCGATATATTTGTAAACACTTCAATTTCTTAAAGATATATAGGTATCTATCTATCTGTATAATTTGAATAGAAAACATTTCTAATGTTCTACTTACGTTTTTGCATATATAATTTACATAATGTACAAAATAAACATTTAAAGTGAAATTATTTTAATATTTACAATTTTTGTTAAAGGTCACCTTTGGCGGTCAAAGAAAAAAAAAAAAATAGGTTTTTATTTAAATTTTATTTACAAAACTTTTTTCAATAATATTCATTTAAATATTATATAAGTGACCTTAAATGCTACATAAATATATTTTTTTCGCTATATTATTTTAATTTTTTTTTTTTCAAATTTTAATAAGACCTATTTTAATTTTCTATTTTAGGTTTACATTTTTGGAATTCAAATGATAATTATTGTTGTTTAATGGTTAATTTTTCAAAAGTTTCGTTTGCGTACATTCAAATATAATTGTGTATTTCAGAAAAAAGTAATGTGGCATGGTAGCTAGGGGAAACCTACCTTTATTCCTACATTATAGAGAAAAAGAGAATAACATTTCTGATCTTATTTTACTGTTAAATAGGCATAAATTTCTAATACATTGGGATATATTCCAAGAAGAGATTCGTAAATCAGAATATAATTGATAATTATATTTAAGATAAAGATATAAAATAATCTCTTAAATAATGTTCGCTCTAAATGTTAATTCGAAATGTACATATATAAATATGTAATTCTAGATATCTATAATTTTGTAAAATATTTTTCTATTAGTTTGATTTGAAGGAAAAGATTCACTTTTACAATCAATTTCCTGTTATTGCAAAATTGTAATCATTAACTTTGAATTTTGAAATTCTGTTGTCATTAATTATTAATTATTTAAAAATTTGATAAATTTTTTCCAACACTAGTTTTTGTAAAGTGATTTATGTATTCATTTCAACTTATTTTGTTTTTAGTAGAAACTATTTAATTTGAAAATGAAAATAATGAAAATGTTATTGAATTTTAATATCTAAAATAATTCTATGCCCAATTACTGTCAAAATATTGAATTTTGGAATTTATTTAAAAGTTTAAGTAAGAGGAAATAAATTTTTACTTAAAATCTTGAAAAAAAATAGGCCTATATTCGATTCGATCCATCAACATTTTGTCAAAAATAATTTGGATATAGGAAAATTCTGAAAAAGCATATTTTTGTTGCTACAACTTTTCATTTCGAATAGTTTGAAAGTAAATTTACCAATCCATTTCAGAATAATATTGTGAAAAAGTATAATGAATTCCCGGAATGAATTTCTACATCAATTATTGCATTCTTTTTTTTAAATACATTTGTTGGAATTAAAATTTGAAGGGTATATTTTTGCAGAAAAATTCCAGCATATAATTTTTAAGCATATATGTAATTGTCCAAACAAGTGAGAAGCTTCTCTGTTTAAGAAAATTTTCTGGCAAGTATTCTGTATGTACTTGTACTCACAACGCGTACTGCTTGCGTCAAAATGTTCTCATACCCTCACATTTTAAATTAACTGACATAACTGAGCTACATGCCTACGCAACGTATTGGAACTTGTAATTTTGACAACGTGTGGGATACGTTTTTTTCGTGCTTTTTACAATACATATATCTTTTTTTTTTTAATTTCATTTGTCTGGAAAATAATTTTGAATTTTGCAAACTTAAAATTTAACACTCTAAATTTCTTTTAGAAATAAATTTCATACTACGTGCAGTGTTTTACTTTATGCGCGTATACGTAAAAAAGAATACACTACGCGTATCCGCACGCATTTAAGTCGTAAACAAAAGTCTAGATATCATAAATTGAAATTTTGGTGAGAAATTTATTAGAATCCTGAAATTTTATTGTTTTTTTTTTGCAATGTGGACGCATAATTTCTGTGATATTCTCGGAATTTTTAAAAAAAACTAAAACCCTTTATTTAATATGCCGGCAGACTTCAGACAGATCTTAATTTTCGAATTCACGTACAAAATTTTTTTACACAGATTCTAGAGCACATACCAAAAACTAGGTTATTCTCTTTTTGAGAAAAATGTAAGAATAAGTTTGAGTAGCAGTTTATAAAATATCTCTTAAAATTATATTAATAATTTCATTACATAATAAAATAAAAATAGAAATTTTTTCTTGATTAATAAAAACATTAATTTTAAAATTTGTTTTCGACGTTTAAATGGTACTAAGTAACCCCAAGGAAAACAGCAAAAAAAAAATTTTATTTGACATACCAAAAATGAATGTAAATAAGTTTTATGAGACACTGTTTTAGTTTTTTTTTTTTAAATATCGCTTTCTGTTCCATTCTCATGTATTCCCCTATATAATATTAATATGACGTATTTGACATTTTATGGTGGTGAATAGATGCTGCACATTACAGAAATAAAAAAGAAGAAGAAAAAAGAAAAAAAAAAGGTTTTTCTTTTTCTCCGACGCCATTGTCGTCCGCAAAATTACAAGTTAAACTTTTTATTAAAAATTAACAATAAAATTTTATGAAAATGAGTGAAAAAAATACAAAACAATTAACTTAAATTCATTGTGTAGTGAAAAATTAATAATTATATTTATAAAATGTTTAAAAAATGAAAAAACTTAATTTTCAATATTAAATTTTTTTAAGTTGGGGGTTTTTTTTTTCTTTTCATTTCGAATTTAGTACAAAGACGATGTGACAAGTAGTTTTTTTTTTTTTTTTTTTAGAAGAAAAAAATTTCTCTTAAATAAGTTTTAGTTTTAAAGACAAGAAAAGTACTTAAATAAATAAAATTAAATATACATATATTTTACTACAAATATATTTAATTTTTAATATAAGTGATTAAAAAAGAAAAAAAAAAAAACAAGAAAAAAGTTTTTTCGTAAATATTTGTATTAAAAAAAAAAAAAAAACTCAGGATGGCGTAGTCCTTTCCTGTGTTAAAAGTTTCACCATACCTAAAATTTTTATTCTTTTTTTTTTTTTGTGTATGAAAAGACAACAACAATAATGTACGTATGAGAATTTTTTATTTTAAGTACAAAATATAAGAAAAAAAATTAAGTTTTTTGTTAGTGTTGCTAAAAATATTTAAAATTACTAAGAATATATTGTTAATTTCCGTACAGTTTTTAAAGTGAGTGAAGAAGAGGTAGGTAAAATATCTACCCACCTATTTAATTATGTTGTGAAAATTAATTGACTTTTTTTAGTTTTATCAAATCTTATTCGGCCCTAAGGGAGATTAAATGCGAAATAAGTTTTTTTTTTTTTTGAAAAAGAAGAATAAGTAGCAGAAAAGGGACAAGTAATAAAAAAATTTTTTAAAAGAGAAATAAGAGAAACTTAAGGGAAATAAGCTGGCTATTAGGAATTTCCAAAATTAATGACAGGTGGTAATTAAAACGCCAAAATATGAAAAAGCCTGCATTAACTACCTATACCCTAGATATACATACATAAATATTTAATTAACTCCCTTGGGATATCAAAATATATTAGAATATTTTTTTCCCAAAAATATTGGAAATTTTTTAAAATAAATCAATTAATTTGTATAGGTAGGTGCCTACCCTATAAAAAATAGGTTAAGAAAACATTCTAGTTATATACTTGTAGCTAAGTAGGTAGATAGTCTATATTCCTGCCTTCCTACCTCTTAAACTATTTAACCACTTTCTCTTTTTATGATTAAGAGTATCATTACACTGCAAATACTTACTGTCTTCCTTCTTATACCTAACCTACTTTGAAGAAAAGGAAATTTTGGAAATTTGTTTTTGTTTCAATATTAAATTTTTTTTTTTTTTTTGAAATATTAAATTTTATTAAATACAATTTTTTTTTTTTTGTATACGTAATAATTTTTAAAGGAATTATGTATACATTTTTTTTGTTCTTTTTCTGATTATTATTCAAGTCACTTCGATTATGTTATACATAATCTCCAATATATGTACATTTTATTATTTACCTAAGGGGACACAATTTTACTTACAAATTATACAAAAATGTATGTCTATCTATAACCATAATGAAGCGAGAAGCTAGGTATGGAGTTATATTTTTTATAATAATGTAGATCATTTTTCTCCCTATTTAATATTTTTATTTTTAGATTTTTAATATTCAACAAAAAAAAAAATGATTTTCGAAAAATGTGCGTAAAAAAAAAGACATTTTTTTTTTCGAACGCAATTGTAAAGTTAAATTTTTAGTATTAGATCCATGTAGGTTGATAAATAGAATTATATGTGTACCTATATACATTTTACACTCCTACCTAAATTTAGGCAGACAAAATATTACTTATGCTCTTAATAAGTAAGTATTTTCTGTTACATATTATAATATACGTGTTTAATAGAAAAACAAAGCACCTACCTACCTAACTACAAATATAAATATTATATTCGAAAAGAATTATGTATGTTTGTGTATATTATTAATGAATGACTCAATGATATTAAAAAGAAACTGGTTCAGAATTTAATCATATTGTAGTTATATTAAAATATAATCATTTTTTAATTCTATTGAGGGTATTAAAACAAAAATAGAAAATTATAAATTTATAATTATTAATTCGAATGAAATTTTTTTTTCTTTAAATTATATATTGAAATTTATTTATTTATTCTTTTTCAAAATATAAAATAAAATATAAAAAATAATTCTAGTGCTTTATATTTTTTATCTCCTCAATATCACAAATTGTTTTGAAAACAATTATTGAAAATATGAAATTTTTAGTTTTCTCGTAATTGGGTAGGTAGTTGAATAATGTTCCTACCTTCTAATACCTAATAACCTGCCAATTCCCAAAAAAAAAAATAAACTAGGCACAATATTTTGAAAATAGTTTGAAATTTCGTTATGTGAGAGAATTCAATATTTGGGAAAACACCCAATCCCAAATCACATGTTTTAACTGTTGTTTGTTTTTATATATCAATAAAACTTTATTAAGAGTAAATTTTCAAATTTTTCTATTACAGCACAAGAAACTCAACCAGTAATGCAGTTTTTAATTTTGAAACTGTTTTATTGCATATTTGTCGCTATTTAAGCGGCCTCCGCACACTTGCAACTCTATGATGGCATTCAATTTAATAATCAATAAGTTTGTCTATCTGCACCCTTAATCATTTAATAATTCCCTATATTAACTAATATTATATTCGCACCACTTAGATATTTTGACTAACTTTCTATATTCTTTTTATTTAAGATCAAAACACCAACAAAACAAAGTCTAATTTAAATATGCGATTTTAAATTTCCTACTTTCGCATTTAAAATTTAATATTCCAGATAAAAAATTATTTAAAGAAAATTTTATTAATTTTTTACATTTTATTAATTTCTATTTTTTCTTTTTTACAGATTGTTGAAACATTTGGCTTAGAATCAGACCGTCATTATCTGCGTTGTTTATTTTCGGCAATTAATTTTGCTGAACCACAATCTACACCATTACATTGTAAATTATTGGAGCAAGAACTTAATTCACAATTAACAAAACCAGCATTCATATCAAATATTTGTTTCGCCATTGATAATTGTTTTCCAAATCAAAAGGTAAAAAAATACTACAAGTAAATTTACTTATTTAATTGATTCGTATATTTTTTTTTGATAAAAATTATAAATTTTAATTAAACTTTTAGACTTTGAAAACAACAACATCTCTGATACCGCAAATTTGTAAAGCAACACAAGGTTCTAAATTACTTGAAGTTGTCTTAGCTTTAGCCTTAAGTCATTCAAGTAATACAGAGTTAGCAAAGTACGCTACCGAAAATTTAAAAAGATATTTACCAGCTCTAATCGAATCTTATATCGATAACGAAACACAATCTGAAAAATTTAACGATATATCACCAGATTTATTACAATTAATATTATCATTATTATCGACACGTAGCGGATTTAATAGTGATCTATATAAAAAATTTGTTGAAAAATTACGTCAAGAATTTCCACGTAAAAGAGCACCATTAATATTAATACCATACTTGTATCCAAATTTTGAAGATCAAAAAGCTTTAGTAGCAACTGTTGTAAAAAATATACAGGAAATTACAAATTCTATAAGTGTAACAACTTCAAATACAACATCGACTTCTACAAATTCAACTACCAGTGGATCAAATATAACGAATTCTCTAGCAGTAGGTACGGGGAAAACATATAGAGAAACTGGCGTCGTCGATTTCGTCGTCGACTTAGTTAACGACGAAGATATTTACGATTTTGATATTTTGAAGACTTCAAATATTATGGACACATCCTGGGTCAGTTTAATTTTAGAAATTGGCTATGATTTTACTGCTAATTTAGAAGATTGTAAGAATCATTTGCGCGATAAATTTGGTAGAGAAATTCAGGCACTAGATGTCGCTAAAATTATTGGTCTTATGTGTAGAACTCACACGAGTTTATTAGATTATAATGTGAATTTACCAACCCCAGCAAATTTTTGGCAACAAAACCAACAAGGGCAGCAATCTAGTAATAACAGCAACAATGGAACACCTGGTAAGTAAAAAAAAAGTATTAAAATATTGTGAATCTTTTTTAAAAGACAAAGTTATGAAATAAAAACAATTGTTGACAACTATTTTATTTTTTTAGCTGGAACTGGACAACAGGCAGATGGAAATGCAAATCCAACAGAGAAAAAGGAAAAAAGTGGTTCCGATTCAACGCAAACCTGGAAACCAGATATATTTGTTCAGGCGCTAAAAGAAACCGTCCCAAATTTAAATTGGCAAGACGTTTGTCTTGGTTTAGATCATCATGAATTCCAAATAAAGGATCGTATTGGTTTAAATTTATTGTTAACAATTGTTCGTTTAGCGAGTGGACATAATTTTCCAGTCGAGTGCATTTATAGGCATTGGCAAAATGTTGAGGGGCAATTTTCTTTAATATCAACAATATTAAAATGTTCTGATTTATATTCATTTGCTGATAATATATACCAACCAGTACCTGTTGAATTGTTAAAAACACCGCCTGAAACTGATAACAAAGAAATAGCTCAATGGAAATCTATGCATTTAGTTGATGTTCTTTTGTACATAGCTGATCATGGTTATTATGCTCAAGTTCATGAAATTTTTAAATTTCCAGCCCAACATTGTCCAGATGTACTATTTTTGGCAATGTTACATATTAATCCGCCTTTAACTGCCTTTCGACAAGATTTATTCTCAAATTTAATACCAACATTTTTGAATAATCATCCAAATTCTGGTGTGATATTTCATCATGCATGGAATTCATCAAACTTTTCACATACACTTAGACCAATTATTATGCATTGTATGTCAGAATGGTATTTGCGTGGTGAATCAGATCAAACAAAATTGTCACGTATTCTTGACGTTGCCCAGGATTTAAAAGCTTTGTCTAGTTTATTGAATGCTCGTTCATTTTCATTTGTAATAGATTTAGCATGTTTAGCATCACGAAGAGAATATTTAAAATTAGAAAAATGGGTTAATGATAAATTAAGGGAACATGGTGAACCATTTGTTCAAGCTTTAATAAAATTTTTGCAACGACGGTGTCCACAATTAGCTGGCGGAAAAATTCCAGATGATCAAATGCCGAAAGTTGCCCAACTACCTCAAGAAAGTATTTCGGTAATATTAACATGTTTACAAAATTGTGTTACAACAGTAAGTGTTGAATTAGCTGATATTATATTACAAATGACAAATAGCTGTAATGTGATTGCAAATAAAGTACGCCAACCTATTGTACCGCCAATGCAACAACAACCTGTTGTGCCACCAGTACAGGGTCCACCTCCTCCTGGCGTATTACGTCAACACAGAGGAATAGATCCTTCACCGTTTAGTGCCAATCTTAATGCAGCACAACAAATGTTTGGTGTAGCTGGTGCAGGTGGACCTTCACCTTTAGATGCTTTAACTGGACTAAATAATTCGATGGCTGGACTTAATTTGGGTGGCGGGCCAAATGGTGGACAATTTAATTTTGGAAATGTACTTGGAAATTTAGTCTCAACTCCAGGATCCCCATCAAGATTATTATCAGCACCTCCGCCTTCTAGTAGTCCATTCCCAATGATGACCATGCCAAATCCTCCACCAAATGTAAATAATTTGGGTAGAATTCAACCTACACCACCAACAGCGGATAAAATGCATTTGCCGTCCACACCTTCTGTAATACCCGATTTGGCACAAACTGTTTCAAAAGAGGTTGAAGATGAAGCAAATAGTTATTTCCAAAGAATTTATAATCATCCTCCTCATCCAACATTATCAATTGATGACGTGTTAGACATGTTACAGCGTTTCAAAGACTCAACAATTAGACGTGAACAAGAGGTTTATCAGTGCATGTTAAGGAATTTATTTGAAGAATATCGTTTCTTTCCACAATATCCTGATAAAGAATTACAGATCACTGCGCAACTATTTGGTGGCATAATTGAAAGAAATTTAGTACCTACATTTGTTGCTTTAGGATTAGCTTTACGTTGTGTGCTAGATGCTCTTAGAAAGCCTGAAGGATCCAAAATGTACTACTTTGGCATTACAGCATTGGATCGTTTCAAAAGCCGCCTTCATCAATACAACAAGTACTGTGAATATGTTCGGTCAATTCCACATTTTCAAGACTTTCCACCACATTTAATTCAATATGTTGAGTATGGATTTCAAAGTCTTGAACCTCCTACAAAACCTCAAGGACCGGTTTTGCCGCCATCCATGGCTCATATCCTTCCAGGCGCAACCGGTATAGCTTCAACTGGTACAACGGGACCAGGACCAGTTCCTGAATCATTATACCGAAGCAGTAGTGTTACTGGAAACATAATAACAACCCCTACACAACAACCTAAATCAGTTATAGCAAGTCAGCCATTGCATGCATCACGTGTAAAATCAATCGCTACTGCAACAAATATAGACACATTATTGTCAGCAAATCAAGAACGGGAAGAAAAAATTACAATTCCACCAGACAACATTCAAGATAAAACTGCATTCATATTTAATAATTTAAGTCAACTTAATTTGCAACAAAAATGTGATGAAATCAAAGAAATAATGACTAAAGAGTATTGGGCTTGGCTCTCTCAATATATGGTTCTTAAAAGAGCTTCCATTGAATTAAACTTTCACAACTTGTATTCGAATTTTCTAGATGCTTTAAAGAATAATGAAATTTTACGCTTGGTGACTAGAGAGACTTTTCGCAATATCCGTGTTTTACTCCGCTCAGATAAAGGAATTGCTAATTTTTCAGATCGTAGCTTATTGAAAAATCTGGGTCATTGGCTTGGAATGCTTACTTTAGGACGTAGTAGACCAATTTTAATGCTAGATTTAGACTTGAAGTCGCTTTTAGTAGAAGCGTATCATAAAGGGCAACAAGAACTCTTATATGTTGTACCGTTTGTTGCTAAGGTTTTGGAATCATGTTCAAAAAGCAAAGTATTTAAACCACCAAATCCTTGGACAATGGCAATTATGAATGTTTTAGCTGAATTGCATACTGAACAAGATTTGAAATTGAATTTGAAATTCGAAATTGAAGTATTATGCAAAACACTTAATATTGATATTTCAGAACTTAAACCAATTATATATTTGAAAGATGCTGAAAGAATTCTTAACATTGAATTTCAATTATCGCAGCCTAAACCAAAAGAAATACCAGCACAACCTAAACCTCCTGTACCGCAACAGCCTTCAACACCTCAAATTCCACAGCAAGAAGACCATCAAAATATTGCAAACCCTTCACCAAGTGGTGTAAATAATGACACCGGTAATATGGGGCAAGTACCTATTACTCCACCTGAACCACGTTTTAGTTACTTAGATATAAATGTTACGAATGTTGCATCAATTCAACAACACATTATTTTATCACAAGCGATTGGAATTTTGCATACAAATCCAGCATTGAAAGCTGTAGCTCTGTCTGCAATTGAAAAGACAATTTCCGATTGGTTGCCACCAGTAGTTGAACGTAGTGTCCGTATCGCTGTTGCAACTTCAGAACAAATAGTTCGAAAAGATTTTGCTTTAGATCCAGATGATCAAAAAATGCGAGTTGCCGCTCATTTTATGGTACGGAACTTAGCTGCTGGTATGGCAATGATCACATGTCGAGATCAGTTATCGGCAACAATAGTGGCTAATATAAAGAAAGCTTTTCAAACCTTAATTAATTCACCTCAACAAATACAAGAAATTGATAATGCTGCTCAACAAATTGCTGCAGACAATGTAGATCTTGTATGTGCTTTTATACAGAAAACGGCTAGCGAAAAATCAATTCCTGAGAGTGATAGAAGGTTAGCCCAAGACTTTGATTTAAGGAAGCTTGCAAGAGAGGAAGGAAGGTTAGAACTAATTTAAATTTGAAGCTTACATGTATTATAAAATGTGCTGTAGCTTAAATTTGTATTTATGTACCTTTTGCAAATGAATGTTTTCATGTTTACTTTATTTCACAGACGATATTGCGATCCAGAAGCTGCAGCTTATCAAAATGATAGAATGCCTGAACAAGTTAGACTTAGTGTAAGCGGGATACCAAGTACACAATTCGCTGTATATGAAGAATTCGCTCGCAATATTCCTGGTTTTCAATTAATGGCCGAACGAGAAATGTCAATGCTCATGCCAAAAGCCGCAATACCGGTAATATTTTACAATTATTTTACGTTTTAGTTGGTTTATATTTGCAAATGTATCAATTATTTGTAAATGTTTTTTTACAAATGTATCTATTTTTTTTCATAGGAGACTTTCACTGCCACTGATGAATATGCAATTATGTACGCCGAAGTAGCCGCAAAAATGGAAGCCTTTTTGAATGCTGCGGTTAATGTTCCAACATTACAATTGCAAGCAACCAAAATTAATGCTGTATTGAATGCTTGCCTGCTTGTAAGACGAAATCGTGAACAAGAACATTGCTTAAGTTTATTAACTCGTGCCGTAGAAGCTCTTATTGAAGGTTTGGTAAATATTCCGGACCAAGTCGAACAAATGAAATTATATAGAGATATTAATTTACGTATATTGAACATTTTACATCATCAATTTGGGGCACCTGCTATTGAGCATACAGTAACTAATTGCGTTTTTGAAATTAGAGAAGAATTAAGATACAACGTTGAAGCAATAAAACTTTTGATAAATTCTCATTTTATTAATGTTTCACAATTTGATCAAATGTTGTGTCAAAAAATGGATAATGGAGCAAATTATTTAGCTGTTACATTCGCAATGCAACTGGTTCAACATTATTTAGTAGATGAACGTTCAAGTGGAAATGTTAATGAATCAGAGTTCTGCAACTCAATCGATTTGTTAGCAAGATTAGGCGCTCATCATCGTGGCCCAGAAGGTTTAGCACATTTGATTGAATTATTAAGAATTAATCATGACCCTAACTCATTTTTAATTGAACGTAATATTGCAACACCTTCGCAATATATTCAATCTGGTAAGTCGATTCTTAACTGTAATAATATCATATATAATAATTTCATACAATATTATTTTGTGTTCATTAGGAATATTGCATGTTCGTTCAAATGATTGTGATGATCCACCAGGACTTCAAGAGAAGACTGAAATTTTACTTAAAGATTGGGTACAAATTCATTTAAGTCAACAACATGGTCGTGACACTGTAAAAACATTCAGTACATTTGTTAATAAAATGAATTTGTACGGAATCTTGAAGACTGATGATTTAATTACTCGGTTTTTCCGGCAAGCAACCCAATTTTGTATCGACTATGTATATCGTTTAATTAACGATCCATCAACAAATGCAGTTGTTACAAAAGCAAAAATTTTTCAATTTATTGACGCTTTTGTGCGTTTAATTGCATTATTAGTTCGTCATAGTGGAGACCAGAATAATCCTAGTACTAAAATAAATTTACTTAACAAAGTTTTAGGAATCGTATTAGGTGTATTGTTGCAAGATCAAGAAATGCATGGAACAGCTTTTCAACAAGTTGGTTATCATCGATTCTTTATTATGCTATTTTTGGAATTAAGCTCATCAGATTTAGAACATTTGATGCATAATATTGTAATAGCATTTTGTCATACTTATCATTTATTAAATCCTGCAATGGCACCCGGTTTTTGTTATTCTTGGTTAGAATTAATATCACATCGCGTATTTATCGGAAGAATATTGGCACAAATACCACAACAAAAAGGTTGGCCATTATATTCACAACTTTTATTGGATTTATTCAAATATTTAGCTCCATTTTTACGAAATGCTGAATTAGCAAAACCAGTTCAACTATTATATAAAGGAACATTAAGAGTTTTACTGGTATTATTACATGATTTTCCGGAATTTTTATGCGATTATCATTTTGGTTTTTGTGATGTAATACCACCAAATTGCATTCAAATGAGAAATATAATATTAGCAGCATTTCCACGTAATATGAGATTACCAGATCCATTTACACCAAATTTAAAAGTTGATATGTTACAAGAAACAGCAACAGCGCCAAGAATTTATACAAATTATATTATTAATATACAACCACTTGGATTTAAAAAAGATTTAGATTCATATTTAAAAGCACGTGCTCCAGTAACATTCTTATCTGAATTAAGAAGTCATTTACAAATTTCTAATGAACCTGGATCACGTTATAATATATCATTAATGAATGCATTAGTTCTTTATGTTGGAAATCAAGCTATTGCACATATTAGGTAAATTTTTTAATTCCAAATGTAATTGTTTAATTCAAATTATTTTATCATTATTTTAGAAATAAAAATTCAGTACCGAATACATCAACAATTGTTCATAGTGCACATATGGACATATTCCAGAATTTAGCTGTAGATTTAGATAATGAAGGAAGATATCTATTTCTTAATGCTATTGCTAATCAATTACGTTACCCAAATAGTCATACACATTATTTCAGTTGTGTTTTATTATATTTATTTGCTGAAGCAAATTCTGAAGCGATTCAAGAACAAATAACACGTGTTCTTTTGGAAAGATTAATTGTTAATCGACCACATCCATGGGGATTATTAATTACATTTATTGAATTAATAAAGAATCGTGTTTATAAATTTTGGGATCATGATTTTGTACATTGTGCCCCTGAAATAGAAAAGTAAGTGATAAAAATTTTTTTTTTTTTAAATACTAACTATGATATGTATAAATAAAAGAGTAAAATTAATAAAATTAAAAAAATTAAATTTTTAAAATAATTTTCAATTAAATTTTTTTTAATTGTTTTTTTTTTTTTTTTAGATTATTTGAATCTGTTGCACGCTCTTGTATGGTAAAAGCAAATCATCAACAACAAATCATTACCAATGTTGAACCTGAACTTCAAGAGTGTAATTAAAGAAATATGAACACACAACACAACAAACACCACTCATTGAAAACGTAAAATAATAAAAAAAAAAATCAAATTTTAGTGTAATAGAAGAATTAATATTATAGTTTCCAATTAAAAAAAAAAAACTAAATAAAAAAAGTTTACGGATATTAAAAAATTATTAAGTTTCTTCTCTCATATTTTAAATTGTAAAAAAATAAAATCAAATTACTACAAAAAATCAATTGAAATCAAAATAAAAAAAAAATCATTATTGTTTTCACAAAAAAAAAAAAACAAAAAATTTTTGTGGGAACAATTTGTGTTTTTTTTTTTTTTTGTTTTTAAAAAAATATTTGGAAAAAAAAATTTGAAACTAAAAATGTGGAACAAACAAAACAAAAACTAAAATTAAAATACCATTAAGGAAAATACAAAAAAAAAAAGAAAAAAATCAAATTAAAACAAAATCGAAAAAAAGAGCAAAAATAAATAAAAAAAAAAACCTTAAAAATATAAAAAGAAAAAAATTGAAAAATAATGTAAAAAGTCTTAAAAAATTTAACAAAATAAAAAATTAAAAAAAAAATGTGTATACAAATTAAAAAAAAAAAAAATTAATTTAGTGGAATTCTGGTAACTTTTAATTTTCTTATTTTCATAATTTTTTTTTTTTTGTAAATTTTGTGATTAAAACAAAAAAAAAAACAATACAGGCTTTTCTTAATTATTTCAAAAAATATGAAATAAAAATTTTATGGCAAATAATTCATAAATGTTTTTGTCCATGTTTTTCCTTTTTTGTTTTTTTAAAACATTCAATTAAATAATTAAAAAATTTTTTAAAATTTCACATAAATATTTTCTGTTTTTCATTTTCACTTTATATAAAATCTTAAAAATTTAAGCTTTTTTACTTTTTTATATAAATAAGTAATAAATATTGTAATAATTTGTTCTCTTTTTTTTTTTAATTTTTTATTTAATTTTATATTTATCTATTTTTATATATCTATTTGTAAATAAGGTTATAACAATTATGTACTCAATTGATTCTAGAAAATATAAAAACTTACAAGGAATATATATATATGTATGTATATATACATATGTTTATGTAAATGTAAAAAAAAACAATAAAAAAAACTAAAAAAATTATTTGCCATAAAATATGAAAAAAAAATAAATTTTAAATACATTTAAAAACATCATTTTTTTTTTTGTTTTTCTTTTTTTTTTTTATTAATTACCTTACTTTTTTTTTGTAGTAATTTTTTATAATTAATTAAAATAAGTTTCAATTTATTATTTTTTTTTCTTGTTTGTTTAAGAATTTATTAAAAATAAATGTAATAAAATTAAAAAAAAAAAAAAACTGTAGAGTAACTGTATAAATAACTATATTAAACAATATATGAAAATAATGAAATAATCTTACTAATTAAAAAGCATTTTAAAAAAAAAATATTGTAAATTTTTTTATTAATTTTTTTCAGTGTATCCGGGGAATCCCAGACACAGATATATTTTAATCTGAGATGTTTAATGCATACTGCAATTTAAATAAATTAAAATTTTAATTCAAGTTTTTTACCACACGTACGGAGATTTTCGTTAATTCACTTCTAACTAAGGTTTTAATATAAAGCACGTCCAATTAATCTAAACGGCAAAGTCTGCAAAAATATCATAGTGGGAAATGATAGTTGTGCTTAAAGTTCTAAAGGAAAAATTTTTCAAAGAAAAAGATTTTGACAACACTGCAAAAAATTATCGTCCAGTTCTACATTTTTGAAAGCACTAATTTACAGTTATTCTTATACAAGTTGCAGTCCAATATTAAATTACTGTTTTTTTAGAAAAATCTGAATTTTTAAATTTTTTTTTGGCGGTTATGCAAAAATATTCATCATGTTACAAATTTATTTCAAGTACATATGTACATTCAATAAAATATTCAGTTTGTATATAGGTGAAGTATGGGCGAAAAGATTTGAGATTTAATTTAAAACAGTGAATATCTGAATTTATCGAAAATTCCCTTGCTATATAAATGTATGTATGTATGTATAATTTTTGAGTTTGTAGCAGCAAATTGAAATTTTTGTATTCAGCTGTATTTGTGTGGGTTATAAAAATTGTTTTTGCATCCTTGACACATAGCTCAACTCAATTGTTACATCAACTTGATTTCTTTAATTTTTTAGTACAATCTGCAGAGTGTAGAATTGATTTAAGTAGTGAAATGTACAAATAAAGTCAAATTGAAACCTACTAGATAGTAAGAGAAATTTTAGGAGCAAAACATCAAAAATTATAAATGAGAAAAAAAATAAGGGTTTTGTGTTACTTGTTTTTATCTTTTAAAATTCAAGAATAGATTAACTTTTACATACACATATCCATACATAAAAAATTAAATATGTACAAACTTGTCAAAGTAAGTGCATATCACTTAGTACAATCACTTAGTGATTCAAAGTTTCTTTTAAGTATTGAATCACTAAGTGATAGTGATATTTATCGTAAAAAATTTCCAAAATTTTATTAAAAAACAAAAATCATTTATATGAATTTTAAGAACAATATTAAACTTTTAACGATAAATATCATTATCACTTAGTTATTCAATACTTAAAAGAAAGCTGCAACTAGTAGTCTGGGGTTTAATTATTTCCCTAATATTTTTATTTAAAAAAAATACGTTATTTCATTTAAAAAACTAAAGCAATTCGTTTTCCATCGAGTTTAGATTATATTGGCATTTTAATGCCATCTGTTGTTAAGTTTTTGTAATATAATTGAAATCCTTTTTTAAAATGAATTCTTCACATAAAAATATAACTAAAAGTTAGTACTACGACTATATAATATTTATTATCTAATTGTAAAATACATGATCTGATTTTATATTAAATCTGTATGTCATTTTTCTATTCGCACATCTTTATATAACTGCATCGTTAATTCAATATCATAATGCAAGGCCAAAACAGATTTCAGTCAAAAATTTTGTCAATTACCTAAACAAAATTGAGTGTTTTTTGAAAATGTTATTTTTAAGCTTAGAACTGTGAAGCTGTTAAAGCTTCATGTACATATTGATTGTAGAGCTTTTAATACTTTGTTCTATAAAATTTTAACCTCAATTTTTATTTAAAAACTAGCAAAATTTTTTGGTTTAACTTTTGTTTTATATACAGAGAACCTGTGTAGAGTATGATTTTTCGTAAACAAGTCGGATATGTATTTGTATGAGTATCCTAATATTAATAATTATACTTAAATAAGTCAATCAAAGTATAAATTATATTAATAAAGGAAAATTTCAAAAAAAAAAAATGAAAACGAAAATATCAGAGCATAAAAAAATTTTTAAAAACAAAACGGTCACACTTATCTTCAAATTGTATTTCTCCAACTTTCTATCACCAACAAAACTTCAACAATAAACGAAACAACTGTCAGAATCAAGAAACAGTCGAAATCGATTTTATTTCAAATCAATCACACGGAAGAAAGATAAGAAAAAGAATTCGAAAAATACAATTGTGTTTTACCATAAATTTAATTACTTATTTTAAATTATTATTTTTTGTTTATATAATTAATTATTCAATTAATTATGTTTTGAGATTATTTTTACGGTCAGTTAAGAACAATGTTTTATTTAAAAAAATTTATAATATTAAAGTAAAACAATAGAGAAGAGTAACAAAACAAAATCTACTAACAGAAAAAAAAAAAAATAAGTAAATTCTCTCTGTATACTTATTAAAATTTTTTATTATACTTGTATAATATAGTGAATGAATAATAAGAACGACATTGAATGGAAAGTTCATAAGCTTTTCAAATAAATTGTACATTTAATATAAATAATATGATGAACTAAAGTTTGGCAAAAGAAAAAAGAAAGAAAAAAAAAAAAAGAAATAATTTTGAAAAGCAATAATGGAAAATGCAACAAATTCTATAGAAATGCAAATTGATAATTTTTTGGAACATTTCAAAATAAGTTCACAATCATCATCAGATTGGGGTGATACACCAGGAAGTAATTTTAGTAATTTAATAAAATCAAGAAGTCGTTCTAGTTGTTTGGATGTGGCAGATTTATCCGGTAAGGAAAACAATAATATTCAATTTTTTTTTTTTTTTGAATTATTTGTTTTGTAGAGTAACGCTTTTATTATAAATTAATAAAATTTTTGGTAAAAATATTGATAAAGATATTATCTAAGTACAAACAATTCTTTCTGGTTTTTTGCACTAATAAATTTTCCATTATATACATACTCACTCATATGTGTACATAAGTATATATAGAATTATTATAAATGAGAATTATGACTGAATATACATACATACAAAAGTATATATTTCCATTTTCCGTACCTACATATTTCCCCATAATGGTAAACCATACTAGATAAACCCATAGATAGGATATACATGCATGCATACACATAAAGTAATAAACAAAAAAAACGAAAAAATATAAAAGCAAAATAAATATTGATTTTTTACGCTTACGTTTGAGGTGGTAGGTATTTTTAATATTCTTTACCTTTTTAGATATTTATAAATTTTTTAAAATCAGATGACTGCTATTTTTTTTTTAATTTAATTCATTATCATTTTAATATAATTATCATAATTTGTTAGGTTAATCATACGGTTTTTTAAAATATAATTTAATCATGCTGTGGGGGGCGGGGGGGTAATACTATCTAGTCATATATATATATTATGCCTATCTATGTAGATCCATATTAAGTGTGCATCTCAAAATTATGAGGTAAAAATCACGTTCACATTATTTTCTTGATTTCATTAATTGATGACTTACGAATACTTAATTAAGTAGCAACTTTTAACACAGCAGCCTTTAACAATTACCCTAGATAGATGACCCAGCTATTTGTCTAATTATTCTGCCTTTACAAATAGTCAAGTAAAAAAAAGAAGCATAAGTAAAAATTCTAGTGCAGGGCTAACGATATACAAATTAAGTAAGAAAAAGTCATTGAAAGCAAGATATTTTAGTATCAAAGCTATTATAAAAAATAATATCACAGGGTTTTCAAAATATAAATTTATGCAGGAAAACATTTCACTTAACTTCACTTAAATTTTTCTTTTTTTAAATATTATATTAATTAAACTTTATAAACGCAAAAAAACCAGGCGTTAAACTTCAACATAATTTTTAAGTATAATATTATTCATGCTTTATTTATTTTATGATAAAAAATTATTCATTATCATGAATATTCAATGTACATACACCTACCTACATACTTTATAATTATAATAAAAAAAAAATTCTTGAAATGCTTATCTTTAGTAAAACATAAACCAAAATAAAAACTTTATTAACCATAAATTTAAAACAAAAAAAAATTAGACTAAAATATACAAAAGTTTATGAAGCTTTATAATAAAATTTAAAATATTTTTAGACAATGATTTAGAACGTGTTTTAACCACAAATAATGAATCTCAAAATTCACAACAACAACAGTATTCATTTAATCAACAACCAAATTTCTTTAATGGATCATCGATTTTAAAATCAGTATTACAATCAAATGTTACAAATTCATCATGTGTTCAAAACTCTAACAATCAATATCCATCTTCCACCGATAATTCTGCCAAAATAAATTATGTAAATGATGCATTACATATAGGAGATGTAGCCGATTTATTACATTTTCAACATGCAATATTGACTGGTAAATAAACGCTTTGCAAATAAAATCTGGATTTGTCTAAATAAGAATAATTTAAAATTTGTATACGTAAATAGGTGGTAAATCTAGAGATGGATGCCCTTTAATAATTTTTCCTGATAATAATAATTTCCAGTATCTTGAAGATATTGAATACCAAAAATTATTAACGTATCTAACATCAGTACCAGCGTAAGAAACCATTTTTTGTTTTTTTTTTTTACTAATATGTAAAATAAATTTGAAATATAATTGTAGGATGCAGGATGCTGATTTAGGTTTTCAAATTGTTGTCGATAGACGAAAGGATAAATGGACTGCTGTTAAAGCTGTTTTACTTAAAATATCTGTAAGTTAATAATTTTTATTCAAAAATTCTGTTCTATACAAAATCCAGTACTGATATAAGTTTTCATAACTATATTCTTCTTCGAATTTATTGAAGAATTCTTCAACTTTGTACATTCTTCAAAATAAATAAACACAAAATTAATATCTTTCTTTAACAATATTGCGAATTAATTTTTCTGTTTTTTGGTTTTAGATGTTTTTTCCTGATATAGTTCATGTAGTTTATGTTTTAAGGCCATCTGGATTCCTTCAAAAAGCCATATCGGAAGTAATTTTCATTACATATACTGAAAATAAATTAAAATTATATAAAAAAAAATGTTTATATTTTTAGGTCAGTTCAAAATTTTTTAAAGAAGATTTTCGATTTCGACTAGTCATTTGTTCAACACTAGAAGATCTTCATGAGCATTTAGAAAAATCTCAATTAACACCTGATATGGGTGGTACATTGATTTATTCTCATCATGAATGGATTCAGCAACGAATTGTAATGAAAAAATTGATTTTTGTTTTTTATGAGTGTCTAGCATACAAAATTTATATTTTTTAGTCATTAGAACAATTTTCAAGATTAACACAAAAAGTTTCAGCAGATTTAGATGTCTTCATACAATATATACATGAAACAGAGTTTCCAAATTCTGTGGATGCTACTCAGAAATTAATTGACGATCAATGTGAACAATATAATAGTTTAAAGGTTGTAATCAATATTAAATAATTATTGTAGATGTAAAACAAATATATGAACATAAAATATGAAAATTTTTAGGAAGAAATAGCTGCAGCTGCAAAACATGGTGAAGGTTTATTAATTAATATGAAAATTCATGAAGATATTAAAGAATTTTCAGAACGTACAGGAAATGTTAGCGCTTTGGAACGGTAAAAAATTTATTATTTTAATTTTTTTTTTTCTTTTCTTTATTTTTACTTAGCTCTGCACTGGTATATATTTTTTCATAACCTTTCGTTAAAGTAAATATAAAATTTTTTAATTGTTATTTCATTTGTATACAAAGATTATTACTTAGGTACGTTAGCAGCATGTTAAAATTGTAGTGTTAATTTAATAATTAATATTTTAATCTTTAGTCTTACACATAAAACATACAAAAATATTTATAAAATGTTTAACAAAATCATTAGGATAATCTCGAATATTGAAATAAATTAATATTTTTTTTATGCAAAAACGTTAAAATTTTACTAGATATACCTACAGATGATGATAATTTCTTATATTGCTTTGTATAAAACTTGAATCTGTTTATTATTAAAAAAATAATTTATACGAAATTGAGCCAGCAAAATATAAAGAAATTAGAGTCATCTATTTTGTAGAAATTTTTGAAATTTCTTTGTTGATTTTGCCGGTGCAATTGTTTAATAAATTTATTTAAAACTATTAGTAATGCGTACTCTACAATTTTTTATTTATTTTTAATTTAATTTTGAATTAATTTTATAAAGAACAAAATTGTAACTTAATAAATAAATAATCAAATAATAATCAATGTTTGTTTAGGAAAAGTTATAATATATTTATTTTTTTGTTAAATTTATGTCAATTATTTTATAATCATTTTTAATTTTTGTGTACAAATGTTATATAAATGTTGTATAATTGAAAAATCAAATATGTTATATGTTAGTCCGATAAATGAGTAAATGCATGTATATAATGAAATGTTAAAAATATACAAAATTGTTTTTAGTAAGTCAACATTATATGATTGGCAAATATATCATTAATACACATGTTGTACAAAACCAAATTAAATAAAAAATAAAAATTCTAAAATTACATATACTGAATAAAACACAAAAATCAAATACATTTTACATATACATAAATTTTTTAAAATGTAATAAAGAAAAATATACTATATAAAAACAAATTATGATATTACAACACTTAGAAGCATTGTTATTTATTCACTAAGTTCAAGTGTTTTCAATGTTTCATTTTATGCACAATCTCATTCGAAACGAACTATCACAAATTCATTTCAATCTAAATTCATTCACATCCAGTGCAGGGAAATTTAATCATATGCAACATCATGATGACTGTCGTGATTATCGCAGACTACTTGTACAACTAGAGGAAACTGAAAGAAGATTTGATGAATTCTTTGCAACACATCAGAATCGTTTGAAATTATGTTTGGACTTAAGAAAATTTGAACAAAATTTTAGGGAATTACAAGTAAGCTTTTTTCTCAATTGTTACAATCAAGTCGATTGGGAATGATTACTTAAATTTAGAAATTTAAAGTATTGTTAAGTCTATTGGAAATTTTATATATGCAATTATGAGTTCCTTCTAGCGAATTTTATTTTCTCGTGAAGTAGAGTCATAAATTTCTAACTAGTAGAAATACATAATATGGAAAATTTTCAATAATTGACAAAATTCTAATAATAATAGACATTCCTAATCGCTGTTACATAATGTTATTGAAAACAAATTTTAAAATTTACTTATTTTACATTTTTTTTCTTTTCATATAAAGATATGTCTGGATGCTCATGTTAAAACTGTTTCTGAAATGACAGAAATTGGTGATTCAGTTGCACGTGTTGAAATTTTAATGAATGAAACCAAAGAATTTGAAAATATATGTAAAGATGATATTGATAGAGCAACTGAAGTTATTGAATCTGGTCAACAATTAATTGGAATACAAGGTGCATACCAAAAAGATGTTGTACAACCAAAATGCGATGAATTATATAGAATGTGTGATATAATTAATGATCGTTTAGCGAAAAGAATTGAAACATTATCTAAGAACGGAGAATTAATGGAAAGAGTTGAAAAGGTCTTCATTATTTTTTTTTCCATCATTTTGTAAAAAATCTAATAAGTTTTTATTGAACTGTTTATTGAAAAAAAAAAAATAGGCAAATAAATGGTGCCAAAGAGGTGTTGAATTAATTGCTTCACAACATATGGAAAAATGTTCTTTATCAGCTGATTTAGCAGAACAATATTTACAAGAAATTCAAACATTTGTTTCGTCATCTGATGAATTTCAATTATCGAGTCCAAAAGAATTTAAAAATGTTTTTGTTGAAAGTACAACACAAGAAACCAAAGCATTAGTTACGCAAGTAAGTGCATGTACATTACACTATCAGTTTTTTTTTTTTTCATAAAATAAATTCAATAGAATCAGAGAAAAATGTGTATACTTGTATGTTGTATATACGAGTAAGATTTTTTTATAATAACCTTCAAGTCATTTTTATAAATTAAAAGTCGTACAAAGTTCATAGAATGAAAGCACCCGTTTAAATATCGCATAAAATTAAACTTTTAATTACATATTTAAAGATAATTATAAAACGTGATTTTTACTTGAAAACAATTATGATTTTATGAAGAAAGAATAGTTTTTTTTTGTTTTTTGTTTAATAAATTTCATCTTAGGTTGTCGTGTAATTTGCTTACCTAATTAATTTTCATCTCCAAACATGTGAATAATATTAAAACAAAAGTTTTAATAAAAAATTGTAGTAATCGAGAAACAAAAAGAGAATAATGTTATTAAATTGTTTATAATAAAAAAATAGATTTTAATTTTTCTTAATCTGATTAACAACAATTATTGAGACACAGCACATCAATGCAAAAGATACTTGAATAAGAAAACTTATAAAAATGAATTACTTAAGAGACAAGGAACTAGTTCCAATGAGTTGATATTTTAAAATTATTTACTTGTACATTTGTTTTTTAATAAAAATATTGATATGGAAGTATGATATTCGGAATGCACATTCAAAATATACACAAAATGATTTTCTTATAGATATAAATTCAATAATTATATTATTAAATTAAGTGTTTTATAAAGGATTGTAAATGTAATGAAAAATAATGTCTGTTTATGTGAGTATATATACAAGTATACAAATAATAAAACTAAATTGAAAAATAATCCCATTCAATATTAAAAATCTCACAAAAGAACTGAAATATTTACAATTATAATAAAAATCTGAGATGGTCACAGTTGTAATACAAAGAATTCATACACCATTTTATTTAATTGCAATAGATTTTCATTGTTAAAATAAAGATAACAGAATTTTAAGTAAAATAAAGCTTATGTATACTTCGGCTTTAACTTCGGAATTTTCTCTAGTAACTAAATTTTGTTTCTTTCATATTCTTATAAGCGTAAATGTTTCACATTACAAATTAAATAATTTGATACGCTTTGTTAAATTTTATTATTTGCTTTCTATTTGATAAACATGATTTTTAAAAATTCTAAGTAAGATTAAGGCACACCATAATTAAATAATTTTATTAAGTAGAGTAAATTTTTACATCCATTTCATTATTTCCGAATTTAGTAATAAGTTAATGATAAAATATCTGCTGTTCTTATTAAATCTATTATTTAAGAATTATGATAAAGTTTACTTTTAAAATGTATCTAATTTTAAAATTTAAATTTATTTTTATTAAATTTATTTAGAGTTTGAGTCCATAAATTAATCTTTTTCTTTTCGAATGTAATTTTGAATATAAATGTAGTATACAAAACTACATTTTGAGTGATCCATTCGGAGAGATTAATTTGGAATGACTTTTTCTTAAAATCAGTTCGGAACATAGGTATCCAAATTAAATGTTGAGTATTGTTTCCTTTAGCTGCAATATATCTAGAATAACCAATATAAACTAGAAATTCCAACTACCCCTAAAGAAAATAATAATTAGCAGTTTGAAGAATATTCCCAAATAGCGCGTTTGTATAAATTTTTATTCAAAGTTCGGTCAAATATCAATAGTAATAATCCAAAGTTTAATAATTGCCATGTTTTTATTTTTAATTCTGAGTAAAAATATTAAAACTGGTAATTTAATTTCATAAAATAATTACACATTTTATTAAGCAAATACCCTATAACTTTTATAATTTATTTATTAATTATTTTCAATTTGCACGCAGATGCAATGGCCTATATTTTAAATTCAAAATTAGCAAGATTGCAAAACTAAAAAAAACTGTCATTGATAATATCACTGAACGTTTAATTTTCTTCTCTTCTCCATTTTTTTTTTTTGTTTTCTAGTATCTAGCTTTGATTTTAAACCTATTTTATATAGATTTTTATGTTTTTTTTATCAATATTTGTATTTTTTTTATGCACACTAAATAATTTAGTAGTGCCTGCCTACATAAAAATTCATAATTGTGCCAATGCAGTAGAATTAAGAAAAAAAAGAACACAAAAAATTCATCCATAATAAACTCAAAAAAAAATTTTTATTTGCGTTCATTTTTGTTTTTTTTTTTTTTTCATCACTAACCTATATTCAAAAACAAAAATAACTGATCTTAAATGAATCCAGTTTTGTGAGATGAAAGACTATTAAAGAAAACAGTTATTAAATACTTAAAATACTTGTTTAATCGTGTAGGATTTTTATTATTTCTTTACTTTTTTATTCTTGTTTAGTTGTTCTTATGTTCTGCGACTGGCAATTTTTAAACCATTGCATATATTATAAAATATTTTAATAATATTCTAAGGTCATTGAACGGTAATTATAATAACAGAAACACAATAATAATAACAACAACAAAAATAGAGGTAATATTGCAAAAGAAAAATATTAATTAAAATAAATTGCGCAACGACAAGGTTAATGGCATTCTATGACGCAGAAAAAAAAACAGAAACAAAATAGAATCCTTTTTTGCTATTATGTACATTTGTAGTATAACATGGAAAGAAAATTAAATAACTTGAAAAGCATGTGTTTTTCTTTTAATTTTTTTTTTTGCTCCATGTCTCCATCATTGCATCATGGAATTGTATAATCTAAAATTATAGAACGTAAGTTTTTTTAACAAATTATAGAAAAACCATTTGATAGTTGAAATTCCGTTTGTAATTAATGACAATTAAGCTTTCAATATGAGTAATTGTTGTTTTAAGATTCTTCGTGAACGTTTCTTAAATTATCGGACATATTGCTCGGACAATATTTTAATTTTTAATTAAAATTATTCTTCATATGGTTTCTTGTATTAAAACTAATTTTAGCAATTCATCTTTTGTTTTTCTTAAAATTTTGCCACGTACATAATAACAATTTGGGCAATACTCTATATGTAATCGGAATTAAGAATCTGAATTATGAAATGCTTAATTAAAATTGTAATTAATTTATGCCTTATCTTTACTAAAAATTAATTTAATTTTACATCATCTAGTTAATGTTTATAGTGATATAGAAGCTATTGTTTTTGATTGCGTGTAGTATAAAATTATAGAATGAGTGTATTGAAGAGGACTGGTTGAATTATTGTATTCAGTATTTAACGTCATAATATAGGGTAGTGTTGGGATAAGTACAGTATTGCATATAACACCGTTTATATAATTGAAAATTGGTAAACTTTTTGTTTAGAAACCGAAATCAAAAGTTTTTGTAAAATTAATTTGCGTTCCAAAGAGGGTAAGAGCTTCAAGAAAAAAATTTTTTTTTGAAAATCATAATCTGGAGATCCAAGAGCCTAGCCTCTAAGAGCTGGAGGATATTTTTTACGTGGTACATTACGTATGTATTTTCGGAATAACAAAAGGAGATTCTGTAAAAACAAATATTTCAGTAAACAAATATTTCACTTATTATAGAATCACCCTGTATATAATCAAATATGTATGTGCCTTATAAACTAGTTTATGCTTATTTTATAGTTATGAATGCTTAGTATTTATAGAGAGAATAATTTACGTTTTCAAACGAGAGTAACTGTCTTTGAAATAAAAATGTGATTCATTGTAAATAATTAAAAAAAAAAGTGCATCTTTTGTTTTTATAACAAATGAAATGAAAAATTTTTCTAAAGAAAAATCAGAAATTTTATTAAATTGCATTCTTTTCAATTCTTTTTTGTCTTTGTTAATATTAGAACAAGAAATGTAAGTCTAGAAAATATTCTTATATGCGTATATACATGCATGCATAGAACAGTGTAGAATCATCGCCTTCTTTCATAAATCTCATACTTATGTTCTTTGTTGAAAGAACAATGAAAATTGTTCTTAAATTTTTTTAAATTTTACTTAAATTTTTTAAAAATTTATATTAAAGTTTCGGGATTTCTTATGTTTTACGCAAATTTTTTTCCAAATATGTATATTAATTGAAAAATTAAATAGTAAGAAATATTGGTCTTTTAAACTTTTTGATTTAAATATGCTGAAAAGTGCTTGGTTTCATTTAATATCCAAATTTAATACTTAACAGAATTAAGGAACACGAGTTTTTCAAAAATTATTCCAATATAATCTAGCTGTAAGTGTAAGATCTAAAAATGAATTAATTATTATTATTTATTCTGGATATAATGCTGATATTATGTATACTAAAAATAAAAATTTATAATTATTGTAATTATAAATAAATTAAATAGTTTCTCTTTCAAAAAATGTGAGACTATAAAATTTCTGCTACCATTAGCTTGTATTATGTTTGTTTTATTCAAATGTGTTTTTTTTTGATTCAGAACTATTCTTTATCAATTAAATTGTTGTGCAAAATTTCATCGTCTACATGAGGCTTAGGAAATACTCTGATTGAATTATGTTATAGTAGAGGAGAAATATTCATTAATTAATCTAGATAAATGGTTTCCAGTCCTAAAAATGCAAAAAAAAAAATTTAAGAAATCTTTCATTGAAAATTAATCAGTTTAGTAATTAATTCCTTACCTGTTTTATATAAATTTCATATCCGTACAAATAATTATATTGTTATCCTGTCTTACCTTAGAGAGAGGAACATTTTATGTTATATACAGTCAAAAGTAATTTATTGTCAATTTTATTAACAATTTACTTTTTATGATTCTCTTTTAAAATTATGACTGCCGTTCCCCCACATTTTGCCTGCAATTTATTCATAAATGCTGTTATTGAATATTTATATAAAAGAAATTTCTTTTATTAATCATTATATAACTTACTTGCCATATCTGATCATTAATCTCTTACTTTGTATGATAATCACATACTTATTATTTTTACAATATTTGATTGCAAATATTACGACTGTTTTCATAATATTTATTACGTATGACATT